AACTACTGCATCATCCGGAAGATTTAAGATAGCAATGCCCAGAGCTTCTCCTGAAACAAACTCGTCTTTCGTTTAGTATTAATTGTGAAATACTTTGCGTGCGTAATTTTCGCTCAACTTCCTTCGCCAATCAACTTTTGACAGCTTTGTCTTCCTGCGCCATCCTCAGTCCCACATGAGCCAAAAGTGGAAAATAACTCTCAGGCTTTTTAGTTTCTCCGAAATACATCCTCTCGTTTTGGCCGTCCACACTTTCTTCATATCTCATCTTCATCTATGGTTTGGGCATCTCGAGTCGCCCTTCAGCGCCCGCTGAACAAAGGACCGCTCCTCCGGCTTTGTGCTCAACTTTGTGAGCTGACGCAGCAACTCTTGGAGAACTTTTCCAGACACACATCCACAGACGAATCCGATCTGAGCGCGAAACAAGCTTAACCTGAGCGCGTGCCGGTAACTCACCTGGGCGCTTCGCGAGGTCCTGGCGTGAGGTAGCGCGCGGGAAAACTTTTCCAGCATGTTTGGGTTGTGTTGATGGTCTCTTTGTCTACACGTGTGAAGGGGTTCTTGGCCGCGCCTTGTTCCTTTCAGTTCGAGTCCCGCCCTCTACATACAACTAAAAATCAACACAGAGAGCAACTTACTGGAGTTACTCAGAAAACAGTCAATTATGGGGATTGTTTTCCTCTCCACAAACACGCTCAAATGCACGATGCGAAATGCAAAAAAATAAAATCGTGAACTGGGGAAAATCGTAGGTATTTTACGAGGTGGCTAATTCGTAGGAAGGACCACCCCTAACCCCGCCCCTAAACTCGCCCCTCCCAGAAATCGTACGAATTAGCTACCAAATAAAATACGTAGCCTACGGATTGGTCGTGGCCCCTCAGGAAACACTGCATTTACTCAAAAATGACTTCATTCAAATATTTGTAGTAATTGCATTCCATTGAGTTGTAGCTATAAGTTGCCTGTATTGTAACGCACTTCGCAAAATTCGCCTATAACATAAATATTTCTTAGCTGCCATAATTTCCAAGTCGAAACAAAATGTTAGGGGTTCTTTTCCTGAATATATAAATGCATCGGATAAGTTAGAGTGAGTTAAATGGCCTGAGGATGTTACCATAGCGACTTATATAGGATCGGTATCGGACGTACAGGTGCATCTCAATAAATTAGAATGTCGTGGAAAAGTTCATTTATTTCAGTAATTCAACTCAAATTGTGAAACTCGTGTAATAAATAAATTCAGTGCACACAGACTGAAGTAGTTTAAGCCTTTGGTTCTTTTAATTGTGATGATTTTGGCTCACATTTAACAAAAACCCACCAATTCACTATCTCAACAAATTACAATACTTCATAAGACCAATAAAAAACTATTTTAGTGAATTGTTGGCCTTCTGGAAAGTATGTTCATTTACTGTACATGTACTCAATACTTGGTAGGGGCTCCTTTTGCTTTAATTACTGCCTCAGTTTGGCGTGGCATGGAGGTGATCAGTTTGTGGCACTGCTGAGG